CGTTACCCCCATACCTAAAAAACCACCCTATGAATTAGCGGCTAACTGCAGGCCAATTAGTATCACGTCGGTCATTGCCAGCTTGTTTGAGAAGATTGTCGAGAAAAGAGTTGCAAATCATCTTGAGAAGCATGGTATAATCAGCTCAAATCAACACGGCTTTGTTAAATATAAATCTACAGTGAGCCAAATGCTAGGAGCCCTCAACGATTGGACATTGGGGATTGGTGCAAAAAGAGAAGTTCATGTTGTTTATTTTGATTTTATGAAAGCTTTCGACAAAGTTCCCCACAGTAAACTTTTTTACAAGCTCGAATGTGTTGGTATCCATGGTATTCTGCTTCAATGGTTGCGTAATTTTCTCCTAATCGTACCTTCCAAGTTCGAGTAAATAATTCCTTGTCGGCAAGTATAGAGGTCACTAGCGGCGTCCCGCAAGGCCGAGTCTTATCTACCTTGCTATTCAACATATTTACCTTTGAACTTAGTTCACTAATCACTTCTGTGGGAGTAGAATGTAAGATTTTTGCTGACGACCTTAAAGTTTACAAGGTCATTGATTCTGATTCTGACTCGGCTCAATTGCAAAAGGCTGTAGATATTGTTAGCACTTGGTCCAAGACTTCAGGACTCCCTCTTTCTGTTGAAAAACTAAGGTTTTGATTCTATCCTAGTCACCTTCTTGCCATAATTCTTATCACATAGACGGCAAGGTTCTGCTAACCGTAGACAAAGTCACAGATTTAGGTTTCATTATTTGTCGTGACCTTAGTTTCGACGACCATGTCAACATGATTGCTAGCAAGCTATCAATGATAACTTCTTTAAGGCATTTGCCTGTCGTGATCCTGAGGTTCTTCTACGTGCGTTTAAAGGAAGCGATTACGATAAGGAATTTTCGCATCGGGGGAGAACCTGCGCCACACGGAGCAATTACTTGGCTGCCAAGGGAGCGATGTTTGGTCCTCCCACGGCGAAAGGTGCTGTGGTTGCTGAGCAGGACTCGCGCGACGCCCCGCCCTATGCGATGTGACCCCCACTAGTTTTGTTGATGATTTGGATGGACTGTTTGCTGTTGGCTTTTCATTTTTAATGATCATTTCCCTTCTAGCGGCTGTGTCTTCCAACTTGCCCACGTATTGCCTTATCAATCAAAACGCTATGCTTGTTGGCATGATGGCGGCTATCGTGGTTAACACGTCCGAACAACTTCGTTCTTTTCCTTCGCTCATCCATGGTCGAAAATGAAAGGGCAATCAAAGGGGTCCCATTTCGCTTATTTTCGACGGATTTCTTTGCTTTTTTCGCCATTGGCGTACTATTGAGACCCCCACGTCCCCTCTAGATCCCTTCGAGATCTATCGTAATCGCTTCCTTTAAGACCTATATTCGTCCATTGCTCGAGTATGGGACTGCTATATATTTCCCTTACAAAAATTTCGATTAAAGCACTTGAAAAAGTTCAAAATGACTTCACTAGAAAGTTAATGATTAGAGTCCATGGATACGACTATGCGAAAATACCTAACGGCGCTATTAGAAATAAAATTCTTGGTCTGCAGACGCTGGAAAAAAGAAGGAAATTAAACGACGTATTCTTGCTTCAGAAGATTCTCGCTGGGAAGGTTTCACTCGACAAACATGAGCTTTTCTCTGCAGGGGACCCTCGTACTCGTGACGGAAGTACCAAGGTTTTTATCCCTCGATGTAAATCTAGGTATCGAAGCCATTTCTTTTGCCATCGCGCTGGCTTAGAATTCAACAAAATTGTGAGGCTGGCGGGGGCACCAAAATCATACGCGCACTTCAAAAGTCTAGTGACCCAACACTTATCATAACTTTTTCATTCCTCTGTTGTTGTTGTTTTCTCTTCTGTTTCCCGTTGTTGCTTATAATTACTATTGCCTTGTTACTATCATTTTTATTTTCACAAGTCAGCTTAAGTTCCCACGTCATGTATGTGGTTATTTACATAAAGTGAATTAAATTCAAACGGGCTTGCTCGTAAAATAAATCAAATCAAATCAAATGAACTTGCTCTTGCTCGTTTTGCTCCTAGGTCCAATTCATGACCGCTCGTTTACATCATTGCCGCCAGCGTGCTAGGATATGGACAGAAAGTGGAAGCCACAACCACTTGAGAGCTTGCCGTACCAGAACTACGTAAAACTTTCCCATTCGTAAGTGATCTGAGCAGCATCCTTGATCTGTGGTCGTTTTATACACTTTTGATCAAACGCCTCCATTTATTCAACAAGTACACACTGTTTTTCCCATTTTCCCGACCTGCGTGACAGAAATCCTTCTTGCAAAACTCGTGCTTTTATCTCAGCCATAATTCCCTAGTTTGGGACTTCTCGTTCACCACAAGAACGAAAAGAACAAAAATGTTGCGTTTGTTTTGCTAAAAAAAATTGAAAAACAACAGCTGCTACGTGTTCAAACCGCCGGACATCTGTAACAAATGCTGCGACAAGAACGCTTGCAATTGGGTCTTGGAGTGCTGTCACTATGAACCTTTCTGACCTTTTGACTTATTGCGTTTACATCTCACACTTCTACTGCATCCTATTCTATGTACCGATTTGTCTTCACTCTCCAAAATCGCACACTTCAACCCCATTCTTTCATTGCATCACCTGATACGTTGCCGCCCCGAGGCGGACTTCTCTCCATGCACCGCCCACAGCTCTGCGCCACTTACCTTCGATTGTCCATAGTGTTATTTTGGGAGTTTGTTTCTCTCCGGAAATTGTATCTTTGTGCGTTAGGATTTGTATGCTGTCTCTAGTGATCACAACCGACGTATGCGTGTTGGGGAAGAATGCAAGATTTACCGGAAAGGATTCCTTCAAGTACACCAGGAACCAGAGTCCAACCGAGTGTTGCGCAGATTTGAAAATTTTTACGATTCACTTCCTTTCGGAGGGTCTCTGTATGGGTAGTATGTATATTTTTACATATTTTTATGCCCATCATCGGTGCATGAGCCGTCACCGATATGCAGGGGTAAGTCAAGTGCATCGTATCGCTCACAGGACGGGATCAAAGGAACTTGAAATTTTACTCATTAAATAGATAGAACTCATCAAATAGAATACAGGATAGACCAGTGTGATCCTCGAGCGTTACCTGTAAGACAAAATGTAGAGATGTTGCTAAATTCCAGCAATTCCAGCATTTCCAGCAGCACATCAATGTCGTAGGCGACACACAACGCGAATGGATCTTCGAACTCGACTTGACGAGGTGAAATCGCTGACAACTAGGAGAAGTGGAGTAACACTGACGAGGATCAGTCAATAGAGGCCAGAGAACTAGAGAGTTGATGGAGGGAGTAGAGATGAATAAGATAACTAGGGGAATAGAGGGGAACAAATGGTACTAGGTCTCAACCTAGGGAGTTCCGGCTAAACCTGAATTGCAAGAGAGCATAAAAGCGACGCATGATAGAAGGGACTGCAGAAGGGGTTGCGAATAAGCAAGAAACGTGAAGAGCGAGTAGAGCGTTGACGCCACAATCTTGTGTGCGACTGCACGGCTTGGGTTTACCGAAGACTTGAATGCCCTGCAATGCTCTAGATGAGCTGCAGGGCTCTGGCGCAGGGTCAACCGTCCGTTTAAACTAATCGAACGCGGGGGTCGCATTTTGGTCGGAAGAGGTTCGAGGACTGCCAGCCACAGGCGCAGACGTGGCGTATCCGAGGGGACATGCTTGTGCAGGCCGCATTAGATTTGATTTTTTATGCATAGAGAGGCAGTTTCAGGCAAGTTACGGTGTTTTCCTACGCAGCAAAGAAGTGTTGAATGCATCCATATTAAAGGTTTGACTTCTCGGGCTGAAAATAAAGTTCTTCAAAGACCTAATTTTTTGGGGACGCTTCTTCTAGAGAACTGTAATACACATAAGTAAGCGTGAATCTCGTAGTCTTCAGAAATGTCTTCGTCCCTCCCCAATAAGCTTTCGAAGGAAGTTGATATTGCTGAAAGCTCAAAAACTCGCATGTGCTGCTCAAAAACCTATAAGAACAAAATGTTCGAACGTGTGATTTTCTCAGAAAATAAGCTTTGAGAGAAAGCTTGGTACTTGTCAGAAAGAGAAGATTCTGTACTTTCACCCCGTGAAAAAAATTGATCACAGAATTGAAAACGAAGCGAGTTATGGCCGCTGAAAGCACAAAAACTCGCTTTTGCACGGAAAAGGTTCGAACGGGTTTTTTGAAAAAGGAAACAGTCACTTAACTTTTTATACAGTTTTGATAGAGAAGTATTTAGTTTCTAAAACTTTTTACAGCTTTCCAAAAGGTCGCATACGAAAGATATTATGGGCCTTCCAATTTGAAGGTGCGCCTTCTTAGAATTTTGGGTTTTCCACTTCTAACAGAAGAACTTTCCGGAAAGTTAGGCAATCCTTGTAGTTTTCTGAAAGCGCACCACAGGCACAGTCAAAATCTACCCCAACAAGTCAAAAAAGTACGTCCCAAGAAAGTTATTCCCCTCTAAAAATTTTTTCTCCGCCGCGTCCCGTTCTTCTAGCGCCCGGGTGATACCCGCCGCGCTCCATGGCTGACGCCGCAACGCAGACGCTTTCTGCGGCGGCGGCGCAGACGCTTTGTGGCGCAACGGGTTCATGTCTAGCACTCTCATTAACAAAAATAGGGGTCGCAACTGGTCCCCTTCGAGAGCTAGCAAAAGCTAGCTAGCAAAAATCTCGAAAATGTTCGAAAGTGACGGTTGACCCTGCTCTATCGCCCTCACAGGCTGTAGATCCACTGCCTCTACATGAGGGCTCCCATTTCCTGATACGGGTCCCAGCGTATTGAGCAGGTTCGATCCCTGCCCCCTACAATTGCCAAGGTTCCAAGAGTACCCTGTCACTGGTAACAGTAAAATAGGCATGGGCGTTTACGCAGTAGTACCAGTCGTGGGCCGCTACCCACACAAGCATGCTGGAGTTGCGCATGTGAACCTACAAGTAGCCGAACTATAGTTAATGAAGCATGTTGGCGTTCAAATGCGAAGCGGGAAAGGGTGATGACGTGGATGTGGGACTCCGGGTGTGACTAAAAGGGCTCCATCACAATAGCCAAGATGATCTTCGTTGACAATGATTTTGACCCGATGCACCACTTCTGTCGCGTCCTGGGTGTCCGTGGACACGCACAAATCTAAGGGCTCACCACGCTGTGCGTGCGACGGTTCTGTGCTGGCTATTTCCCTGGCACTAGTAGCTGATGACTATAACTGCTGTATGGAGCTAATAAGTATGCGTGGAACGCACTACGAACCAGAACACTATACATAAGTACCTTACGACAAATACTATCTATGAATGACATGACCACAATGGAGAGAAGAGAGAGAAAAGGTAGAGGAGGACCTACGAGCACTATTGACAAGCTACTCTGCTTCTGTGATAAGTGGCAGCGAAGGCTCACAGATCTGTTGGTGACGATTTCGCAAAGACGGTCGTTCCAATCATTTCGTAGGTGCAACCACTCGGCGAGACGACAGTACGACGACCGACTGTTGGTCAAGCGCTGGCTTGACACAGAAGCAGAGTAGTTTCCCGCGCAGCTGACGGCTGCACTATTCGAACCGTAAACAGCCGACAGGAGGCTGTCGGCGCATAACATGGACGAAGGAAAGGTCGTGGCCAGTGTCACGATATGCGGCATGCATATTTGCTGAGCTGTCGCTACTGCGTCGACAATAACTGGTACATTTCCAGAAGTTGGTTAGTACGGCCCGCTTACTCAGCATTCAATTTCTCATACTGATATTATTCCTGAAGTATTCGCTAACCTAATCTTGACGGATGAAAAGAAAATGTAGTTTTGGTGAACTTATGACTCAAGTTGAACGTCCCATCAATAATACCTATGATTGTGAAATGGCCACTCAATTTGGCGCTTGAGACGCAACATGTCTCAGCTTTAAAGATGCCGCAGTGGTGGTCCTAGGCAGGGTCAACCATACATTCGTACAAGTACCATCGGGGGGTCGTACTTGGTTTAGCTTGGAGGGGGGGGTCGTACCCACTTTAGTCGCTTGAAAGCACGTGTGGGATTGAGGTGAAACTAAGATTACGTGGGTAGTAGGCTGGGCGAGTGGAGGAGCGCAGGATAAAAAGTTGCCGTCAGCGGGCGTATACACTTTCCCTAAAAAAGGAAGTTGTGGGAGTATAGGTAAAAAATGGGTTGAAGTGGTGGAAGTAGAAGGAAATTTTCGGGGATATTTACCGTTTCAGAGTGACTATATGCCTCCCGCTCGACGGCATTTTTGGAGGAAAGAGTGGGCGGGGTTTGGTGAGTTGAGGTGTATCAGAATTAAGTACTATAGAGACGATGATGGTGGTCGAGGTGTCGAATAGGGGGTCGTATCAAATCCACCTTGGGGGAGGGGGGTCGTAAAATAACAACGATAGAACCGACCCTGGTCCTAAGCGCCAAATTGAGCGGACAGTGTATCGTTATGACAGGTGAAACATTTTACTTGGCGCCAAATCGACTACGATAACCAAAACATGGGATGAAGTTACTTCTTTGTTAGCAGTCTGCTGGCTCCTAGCGTGACCTTGGAAAGCAACGGTCGCTGCACGTTTAGCAACTAGATGAAGACCATTTTGAATTATTTTTGTTTGCATAATGTTGTCAAATTCAGCATTCAGGTCTTCACAACCCCTCTCCTCTCAAAGATGAACTTGTTGGCAATCACCATAACCTCCTGATACCAGTCGATATGCTCTTTAAACCATACTAGCCGATATCAAATCTAATCAAAGCCTTTCATTTTCCGATTTTGATACAACGGAGCACGTCTCATTATTTCTTAGCCTGACATATAATTCTCTCTTACTTCATCCCGTTCGAAGCAGCTGTCTCACGTAACTGGACCTGTGTCATCTTTCGGGCACTACCCACACCGATCGCCTTGTCCTTTCTAGCTTCACTTACACAACTTAACGTAAGTGCCTGTAAATATATCATAATGTCTTGTATGACCGTGGCCACAACTAACAACACTGTTTTCAGGAAGATTCTGTACATCAAAATGCTTTTTCGGTGTGGACGGCATCGGTGCTTTTTGGCTACATTTATCCGTTGGCAAAGTGCTCAAACTCCGATACAAAGAAAAACTTTCAAAAAGGTAGAAAAGAGGCGTGATGCGATGCTGTTTAATTGAGGCCATTTAGTGGGGATTTGCTCTCCAAAGAACAATAGGAACGGGGCACTAGTGTATTAGGAGGTCATCATTATGCGCAGAGCGCAACACAGATGCTAGGGACGCTGGGTTCTCAACAAACTGATTTTTCCCGAGCCCATCAGCCCCATAACACGTTGATTACAGTGGTCGTAGAGGGTGCGAAGAGCAGCACTTCATGTGAATTCAGAATTCTAGAAGGAAGCCGAAAAGCGGCGATGGAGAGGCCGTGCCTATCAAGAGCAGAATGGCTATCGGCAAAGTAGAGCAATACGGACTTTGAACCATTTCGGTTTTCCCACAACTTGTTGATACCGTCAATCACCCTATGGCCGCATTAAGTTTACGACTCAGGAGAACAGGATAGTAGGCGATAAGATATATGAACAGTAGTGGAGCATGATATGACATCAATTCTCGATCGATTCTTGAGAAATCCTATTGCTGCGTTCATAGTTCGCGACTTGGGAGATTAGCATAGTAAGCGATAGGACATTGGGGTAGCAGCAGAGTAGGATGTTGCGCTGATCTAAACTAAACTAAACTAAACTAAACTAAACTAAACTAAACTAAAAAACTGATCAGGTTTGATACGTGCCGAATGGGATCGCTAGAGAGTAGTTGGGCGTCTTCAGGCGGATCGACCAATACGTACTAACCTCAGCGCACTATCCTAATCTAGTGCTATTCTAATCTCTTACTCCACTACTATCCTACCGTAATATCGTAATCTACTACTTTCCAGCGATCTCAATCTATACGTATTTAATCTTATGAGCGCACTATCCTACACTCCTGCTATCCTGATCTACTACTGTTCTGTTCCCCGTCAACGCATATCTTATTCATTAATGTGTACTATCCTGCCCCCGAGATCGCGAGTATGAACGTGGTTTAATCTCAACTTTTCAACGATTCAAACTGATACGTAGCCAATGTCTTCGCACCATCCCAATTTACGACTATCCTGATCTCCATCTCTACTACTACATATCCTACTATCGTAGTAACGTACTCTACTCCTCTCTGGTGTGTTGTATATACAGGGTAGGCCAAAATTATGAGGACCAAGACATTCTGTACGTAAAAACGCATAGTAGCTTGATGGAACAAACAAACTTTAGGAGGTTGTTTGTAACTTTCTCAAAGTAATTCCAGAATAGAATTGAGATACTGCCACCT